AAACACTATTATTGGAATTCTATTAAAGCACGAAACTGGCTACCTTATGAGCCATAAAGGTAACGAATGATCGGATTTATTTTTATTACTAACTATCTCCCACGATTCCGTCCTGAATTAAAAAAAAACTTTATAAATAGCCAATGTGTTCTTTAAGACCATGTCAGCCGTTTTGGAGATACCTTTTTTTTTTATAACAGAAGGGGGCAAACGAGCAGCGGGAACACCGAAGTGTTCAACGACGCCCATGGACATCAGCAATACCAGAGGAACCGCAGATGCGTTGCCGGCCTTTGAGGTGCCTTCTAAAAACATCCATACATCCATCTGAAAATTCGCATTTATAATATTAGTAAGAAGTAAGTAAATATTTTTAGTATTGGCAAAAGCATACGTAGATCATTTTGGGCAAAATATTATTTCGATATTCGAAGGAGCGTTTGTGTTTGACATTAATTTCCTTTACAATGATGAATTTGTGAGTCAGCTTCAGAAATAACTGATCACAAATTGACGTGTCTTATTTCTTAATTAAAGATATCCTTAACCGCGACTTCGTCCGAATGGTATTATAAAATATCTGGTGAGAAGTATAACCATATAAATATATCATCCAGAAATAGCATAAAAAGAGCGGCGGTGGCTCAGGGACTTGACTTGCAATCTGCAGGTCCTGGGTTCGAATCCCGCCATGTACTAATATGTTTTTTGATTTCCGATTTACATATGTACATTTATCCGACGTTCTTACGGTGAAGGAAAACATCGGGATGCAACCTGCACATATTTGAGAAATTCAAAGATATGTGTGAAGTCAACCTACCCGCACTAGGCCAGCGTGGTTGACAATGGCCTAATCACCCTTAACTCAGGGTTGGCTCCGAGCCCTTCGGTGGGGACGTATAATGAACTGATGATGAGTGTGAAAAAAATTACAAATAGGTTCAGTATATTCCTAGCTTCTATATTTTACTTCTTACTAATATTATAAATGCAACAGTTTAGATGGATGGATAGATGTTTGTTTGAAGGTATCTCCGGAACGGTTCAATGGATCTCAACGAACTTTAGCATGCATATAGAATATTCTAGAACAGTCTTTCCCAAAGTGGGCGATAATATCCCCTTGTGGGCGCTGCAGGTCACAAGTTGCGGGTTATAGTAAAAGTTTTGTTTAGAATTCTCCGTTAATATACATATATAGGACACAATAATTAATTAATTTAATTTGCAGTTATAGTGGTTTTAAATATGAGAAAATATCGGGGCGCTAAAAAAATATTTATTCTCAAAGGGGGCAGTAGACAAAATAAGTTTGGGAACCACTGGCCTAGAAGAACACATCGACTACTAATTTTTTATATTCCGTGCGGACGGAGTCGCAGGCTATCGGTAGTTGAAAATAAATCGTAAACTAAAATCACTTCCAATACAGTCTTCCACAAAACTTTTACATTATCGTCTATGAATGAAACTTTACAGATACGGTAAACTGGGATGCACATTGTACGAGGATTCTAAAGTTTTCTTGTTTCAAATCGGAACATGTTTCCGATCTATGTTATTGGAGATTGAAAAAGAATGTTGTTCGACTTTGTATTACTAAACGTATATCGTTGACACGTGTTCTTAACTTTTGTATATGTTGTGTTACTTTTATATTTTACCCGACTGATAAGAGGGTAAAGTTTTTAGCCTGTATATAAAGCTGTTTGTACACAAGGTAACATAAATCTGGCTACCCAGCGACTTCAGTCGCTAAGCAATATCTATCTGACTACGACTACGACTTAGGGTCCTTCAAGAAGCGAGCTTATCACTATCTCAAAGGCCGGCAACGCATCAGCGGTTCCTCTGGTATTGCTGATGTCCATGGGCGTCCAAAATCTGTATATATAAAAGAAAGTTGCGTTAATTACACTATTTTTACTCAAGAACGGCTTTACCGATATGGCTGAAAATCGATGAGGTGGTAGCTTAGAGCCAGGAGCCGGACATAGGATACTATTTATTCTTTTTTTTCGAATTTATGCCTTGAAGAGCTCCTTTTTATTTAACTTGCTAATATTATAAATGCGAATGTTTAGATGGATGTGATGTGGATGGATGGATGGGTGGGCTACAACTAATTAAGTTTTTTTATATATCCAAGCGGACGGAGTCGCGGGCGACTAGTACGTAATACAATGTCATACAGGTTCGCCGCTGCAATTTTCAAAATGGCCGAGTAAGTATCGCAGTTGACATACCGCTATGTCTGTACTGACCGAATAGACTCACATCGACGATTCAACATTGTGTGTACGTTGTTTTTCACTAAGAGTATTGGGACTGTGAATATTTATATTTAAAATTAGTAAATAAAGATTTATCTACCAGTTTATAAAACTAAAGCTATTTACGATTCATGAAGATTTTATTTCAATGTTACTTTGACCTAACTATAACTATAGACTTACATAAAACAAAACATGTTTACTTGTTTTCTACACTTAAAAATTCCCTTTGCTCGTACATCATTAGTTTTCATTTTTAAGTAAATACGTCACTTTATTTTGTGAGCAAACTTTTCTAAAACTGCTAATGAGCTACGGGCATAGGCGCTAAATGCAATGTGGAATAAATTGTTTTACCATGAGTTTGCACTGTTGAA